TTAGGCTGGGGCACCTGGTTGGCTCAGTCAGCTAAGCATCCAACTCTTGGTTTCAGCTCAGGTCGTGATCTCACTGTTTGCAGGTTTGAGCCCTGGGCCGAGCTCCATGCTGACAGCACGGAGCCTGCTTGGGATTCTCTCTCCCTGTCTCTCTGCCCCTCCCTCACTTGCTCTCTCTGTCTCACTCTCTCTCAAAATAAATAATCTTAAAAAGAAAAAAACAATTAAGCCCACAAATCCTTCTTCAATATCCCTTCCTCACTGCTCATTTCCACTTTTTTAAACCACAGACTGTGTCTTAAAGACTAAAGGAAAATCAAAAAGTGTATTTTCATACTGAATGTAGACGGTCACGTCAGTAGCAGAATTGGTATTACAATGCCCTACCATATTTGCAAGGCTGCACAAAAACCTCTCACGTGTCCCTGCCTTCCTCAAAAAGGAACTTAATCTTAAAACAGTTATGTACAATAAGAATCCTTAAAAGAAATAAGGATCTTATGTACAATAAGAATCCTATTTATTATAGGTCTTAAAGAACAAATATTTCAGGTACCTCAAGCTCTTTAGTTTGGTAGAGATACATGGAAATGAACTGACTTTCAGAGCTATGATTAAAATCATGAAAATTTCCAAGGATTAGAGATTACATCTTTGTATTCCAAAAATCCTCTTTGAATAATGATTCACAAGAGCATGGAATCATGCTTTAAAATTAGCAAGCAGAAATGCCTGTTTCCATGGCTTTAAACAATAGTATTACTCAATGTTAGTAAGACCAATGATTGTTATCAGAATGTAAAGCATTTACTGATGAGAATCATTTGCCCTTTAGAATTAGAACTTTTCATGTTAATTTTTATAAATCATTTGTAAATATATTTGATGAACAACACAACACAGTCATAAAGATTTTATTTGTTGTTGCTATTAAAGAATTCATACTTATTTGTTTTTGTGATGGTTCCACAATGTAGTAAAAATTTCCTAAAACATTACACAATTTAAAATAATAAAGGAAAAGATGAAGAAACACACTTTGCCACAGGATAGATCATTAGTTGTGTAAAAGAAAATTAACAAGGGGAGAAGTAGATGGAAACGATAATTTTTAAGAGTGTGTTTGATTGATCATATTTTAATACTATAACCTAACACGTTGGCCCTCCAGGAAAAAAGAAATCTAGATTTTTTCAGACATTTATGAAGTATATTTATTATAGAAATGATTGCAAACAGCCTTTTGAAAACAAGAAGCCACATTGAAGACAGAAATAAAGCTCAGAGTCAAAAGCTTCTGGTATTTAAGAGTCGTATTAATTAAAAATCAAAGAGCATTGTATATCTCTAAGCTGACGAAATATCACGTAGCTTGTCAAGAATGAGGCAAAACCTCTTCAAATATCTAACTAGATTTTGCGTCACAGACACTAATAATTGAGAGAAATATCTGAATAATATATCAAATGGCCAGTCGGTAGCAGTGTAACTATATATCATGACTTTTTCATACCGAAAATTCTTATTTCACACTGAAATTCTGAAAGGTGAACCTACAGTTTATGAGATTTCAAACTCTTTGAAACCAGCCGTAGGGCGTCACATGTGAAAAGTGCACGAGGATAACAATCAGGAGATCTGGGTTGTAGATCTTTTAACCTGAGGCAAGTCATTTAATTAACATCGGATTTGGTCATTAATTTGTCACATGAGGGGTTAGACGTCATGCTCTGGGAATTCCCATATCAGTTAAATGTCTATGAGCTTGATAAATTAATAAATAATCACAGCTATCAATTACCTTCTGTGAAATGCCTATTTTGTGTCATATGATCAGCTAGAGTCTTTGCATGGAATATCTTAATCTTCGCAGCAGGAATATCTTTATTCCCGAGATTTGGAAACAGAAATTCAGGGAAGGCAACTTGCCCAATAGCACACCACTAATAAATGCAGGAGCTGGGATTCCAGCTGGGCTCTGTCTTCCTGCCCTCATGCCAACTCCATCATACATTCTGATTTTTATCCAACTGATGACAGAATATTCAATCATTCGAGCTGCATGACAAAGCTTAAAATAATTGCTCAACTATCACATAATGGCATTAAAAGAACTTCCACTCGAACGGCAACCATCAATGATTCAAGAAAGAAGTTTTTATTACTTACAGCTGTTCCAAGGATCTGAGTCCTTTAAAGGTTTGCTTGTCGAGGGCATGAATTTCATTCTTGTACAGATACCTGAAAACCATAACAAATCCTATTAAATTCTAAATTCATGTAAATACCACATATCTTATATCAGGACTTTTTAAACTCCAATGTGGCTCTAAAGAGCTTTGGGATGTTCACAGATTCTCTAAAAATAAATGGAAACTTTGATTTCATTTAAATATGTTCAGATATCTGGGTAAGACAGTTCCAAGGCTCTCAGATTCTCAGAGCTCCTTGATCCAAAATATTAAGAATCACTGCCTTAAATTCTAAAACTTAGCGTGATTGTAAAAAATTCTGACGAATGAGGTCACATGTATTGGGTAGCAACTTCTCTGAGGAAAAGAAATGTTTGTCTAGAACAATTTTTTCCCATCTATTCTATCATACAGAATATATTGAACTAAGAGTTACATTCGTCAAGCTGGCAAATATCACAGGATTCTTCTGAAGGGGGATAAACACATATTAACAGATCCACAAGAGGTATTTTGGTTCTGTCACTGCTGCTGCTGAAAACCTACAGGAAAGGATACTGTGAATGGATTTACAGATAGGAGGATGTAACTAATCTGGCCAAAAGGCTTGATGAGAACAAATTTATGTAACACGTAAGCACTACGTCCTTTTTTCTTCAACTACGGGATGGCAAAGTTATTTCATTTTCAAATCTCTTTGATTTTTGTGGATGTCATGAAAGCGAAACCCGGATCATTCCTACTTGCGCCTCTGAGGATCCGAGGCAATCAGAATTCCTGAAACGTTCCGTCAAGTTCCTGTGCAATGTGCCCCTGCCTAGGTTAGAGGTCACTGTGATTGTGCCTGCATCAGAATCCTCTGGTGTTTTGTAAAACACACTGGGTCCTGAGCTTGCCCCAAAACTTACTCAATCCAATTCTCTTGGGGTGACGTCTAGGAAACTGCATTTTTAACAAGTTTCCCAGTTGATTCTGAGGCAATCTATCTCCATACAAACCATAGAAATCACAATTCTAGTTGAAAATGAAAAAGAAATTGCTTTTCCAAAACTTGCTTACTGAAACTTTGGAAGTTCCAAATTACTTTCCCTTCCCACAGATTAGAACTCCTATAAGTTTTTCAGAGCAGTAGTGACTGGTGGAGAGTTATGTCTAACTGGAGAGATTTCCTTGGCGTTATTTGATACCACGGAAGATCTTGCTTTGACCCCAAATCTCAAAAATATAGCTACATGTGAGGATGGCAAGAAAAAGAACCTTCTAGAACCATGTTTCTTTAACTGGCTGATAAGCAGCATTGAGCTGTGGTCTCAAAAACCACCACTGGTTCTCAACTGTGGTTGTATGTGAATCAGTGTATGGGTATATGAATCGATAACATTTCTAAGACATCATTTTGAGCTCTGTCTCAGGCCTTGTGCTGGTATCTGGGAGCATGCCTCTGCAAATTCTGATTTAATAATGGGTCTGGCAGATGGAATTGGCACTGGGATTCTTCAAAACTCCACAGATGATAATAATATACGGTAAAGTTGAAAACTTCTATTCCAGGGCTATAGACCAGATAAAAGTATGTTGTAAACTTATTCCAAAGGATTCAGATATCCCTCCCTGTAAAGGACCCTCCGACTATCAGAATGTCAAGGAACCACATTACTTTTCAGAGATCACATCTTGAGGCATTAAAAAAAAAAAATTGATCCAATCTCTGTACAGAGGCATGTAAAGTCTTAAATAGGTTTCTGCTATTATCACATTAAAAATGATCAACTGCCTCATAAAAATTAAACTAAATTATCAAATATTTGTTGAGGAGCCTCAAAACTGAAAACTGCCCATAAAATTTTATATCATATACACAGATTCCTTTTAGATTCATCTTTCATAGAAAATGATACTGTAAAGGTGACCAAATAATAGTAGGAAAAAAAAAAAAAAGAAACAGAACTTCTGTTGTTAGATCCACACATGTTGATTAAAACAATAAAGTATACATTCAAGAAACACTGCTACTTAGGTTAACACCAGCAAGAGAACTTCCAGCTTCCTGTGGGATAATGGTAGCCTGAATTTGAATCTGTCCATACATCCTGAAAATCAGCTAAGAGGAAAAAACAAATCACTAGGAGAAACAGAAAATTAGTCACTTCAATTTACATTTAAGTAGAGAAAATACTAACATCAGCAAAGTGAGCTCCAGAGGCTGCTTTGCAGAAAAGTGTCAGGTAGGATTTTACAGATGAGAGAGATGGGAGGAGGGCGTGGAACAGGAACGCTGAGAGAGTACCAACCTGATGAGAACCTGTCAGTCCTGGGGAAGCAGAGCCCTAGTTCCTGGGAATTGACAGAAAGGGGCCAGGAAAGTGAATGGGGGGGGCACCTCAAAGTAGCGAGGCATCTTGTGGAGGAGTGGTATTCCATGGAAAGAAGGAAGAAGCCAAAAAGTCTTACCAAAATAAGATAACATCATAGAATCCGAAGACGCACCAAAAAGAGGCTGTATTAACTAAACAAATTGTACTTCACTCTCTCAGCAGGAGGGCAATGGTCTTGAACTAAGAAATAAGCCATCCAAAGTTCTCTCTAACCTCATATTTAATCACCTGTCATTTGAATCAAACGTTAGTATCTAAACTTGAGGAAAATTGCACAAGAAAACAATAAACTCATATTTGAATATCAATGCAAAATTACATGCAACTGAACTCACCATTTAATAGTTCTATGGAGCAATATTTGTGATTATCATCTAAAATACTGGAGAAAACCCATACTGATTGCTATCTTCATTTCCAGATACCATGATTGTATGACTGGAAATTGTAAAATAATCAATCCCAAAATTATTACCAAAACATTAAGAGAATTTAGTAAGATTACAAACTATAAAATGAACCTATGATATCAATGGCCTTAGGGTGACTGGGTGGCTCAGTCGGATGACCTGAGCCAAAATCAAGAGTCGAATGCTCAGCCGACTGAGCCACCCAGGCACCCTCAACACAATTTTACATAGGTGAATAAGCTGATTCTAATGTTTCTATGGAAAAGTAAACAAATAAGCTAGATACACCCTAATTAAGAAGTTCAACGAGGAGACAGGCTATAACATATATTTAGGAAACTCAATAAAACCTCTATAATTAAACCAGTGTGATGTTGGCACACAAATAGTCCCATGGGGAAAACAAAATAAAAGGTTTAGCTGTAGAACTATATATATAAATTTAGAATATAATACAGATTCATTTTCAAGTAATAGGTGTTGAGAAAAAAAATGAATTATTTCTTTTTAAAATTATTTTACTTTATTTTATTTTTTTGAGAGAGAGAGAGAGCTCATGAGTGGGGGAGAGGAGCAGAGGGAGGGAGAGAATCTTAAGCAGGCTCCATATGCTCAGTGCAGAGCCCCATGCAGGGCTCAATCCCAGGACCATAAATTCGTGATCTGAGCCCAAATCAAGAGTGCATCGTTCAACTGCCCGAGCCACCCAGGTGCTCAACAATGAATTCTTTTACTAATGGAATGGTGGAAGATCTTCCAACTGTGACTCATAATCCAGAAACAATTCAAAAATAATATTTTTTAAATAATAAAATGTCACTTGGCAAAAAATTGCATATCCAAGTCAAAAAAGAAAGAGAAAATTTTGAGAGCTATTACCACAGAAAGATTAACATTTGAGAAGAAAAACAAATTTTCAATCATAAAATGGGCAAAAGCCATTACGGATAGCATACATTTAGCACACATAAAACCGATTCAAACACGTGAAAAGATATTAAACTGCACTCCTAAGATCAAACGCAAATTAAAACGATACTGAGATATCCTTTCTAACCTTTCACCCTGAAGAAAAAAGTCCTCCATTGTGTCAACCTGACCTGTTGCTGAGATTGTATGGAAACAGGCCCTCTTGTGCATTGCTAGCGGTGATGCGTCATAGCACAGCCCTTAGGGAATGGAATTTAGCAATACGTGCAAAAATTGAATAGATGTTTACCTTCTGACACAGTAATCCGACTTCTCGAACTAAAGATATTCCTCTACAAAAAAAATGGCATATACACAAGATTTGATAATCTTTTAAAAAAGAAAATCACTGAAGACTATTCAATGTTTATCAGTAGGATCTGACTGAATAAAATATGGTAGAGTCACATCACGGAGAACAATGAAGCCTTAAAAGATGAGAAAGCCCTCTATGAAAGTCTATACAGTGATGTCTAGTATTTATTAGGTGAAAACAAAAAAACCAAAACCTTCCACATATTGTATAATTTGATTGTTTATTTTTACACAAAAAACAATTAAGAATAAGAAGATGTAATATATATGTTATAACATGCGGTGCCTGGGTGGCTCAGTGGTTAAGCGTCCAACTCTTGGCTTCGGCTCAGGTCGTGAGCTCATGGTTCGTGAGTTGGAGGCCCACCTGGGGCTCTGTGCTGACAGCATGGAGCCTGCTTGAGATTCTCTGTCTCCCTCTCTCTCTGCCTGTCCCCCAATTATGCTCTCTCTCTTCCTCCCTCTCTCTCAAAAATAAACATTTAAAAAAATTAAGAGTAAGAATATGTAATATATA